AAGAAAACCTCCCAAAATTCATCTGATTATTGGATTTTAAAAGTAAAATGGTAAATTTACTTTTTAAACCCCGCGCTAATTTCCCAAATCGTTATGTGTAAATTAACAATACATTCTGAACTGGAAAATAACAGTAAAATTTTGATAAAATCTATCGTTTTGGAGTTATCGACAATAAAAGTTCGGACTCAGTCGCGTTCAGCTGTCGACCATTACTGCCCTTGTTTAACTACATTCACTGCGGAACATTTTGCGCGCGGAAGTTTAATTAACGAATTTTTTAAAATGCTCTTTAACTGATCTTACTCGTCTAAACTACTGCGCACTTAAGTTGTGTCGAAAAGCAATGACAAGTGTTTTTGTTTTTTCAACTGTTATTTTATTTATTTATAGTAAGTAAACTAAAGCTTTTCTTTTAATTTAAAAATAAAACAAATTTTAATGTGCAAACTTTGCACAGAGCATGATTACTAACCCTAACCCTGTTATTTTACTCTGTTATGAAATTTTAAATTTATTTTATTGTTAGTATTTTAAATTTTATTTTTCCATAAATCATCTTCAAATGTAAGGCTATGAAGAAACTAAACTACTCATAAAAAAAAATAATAAAATATTAGTTTGCAGTTTGCTGTAAGTATTTAATTTTTAAAAATTACTGTGTAGTTAGTTCACTTTTTAGGTTTTTTTGTCCGTCTCTTCGCTCAAAAAACGCATAGCATGAAGAAAAAAGGCCCCAAATTTAATAAAAACAAAATTTTATCGTGAAAAAGTTTGTTATTATTAAGAGGAAAGACCAAGGTATTTTTTAATTATTTTTTATTCCTTTGCAGCATGTTTTAAATTTAGGTTGAAAATCTTAACCCTAACCCTTGGTCAGAGATTAGGTAATTTTGGCTGCTAAATTTAGCATTAGTTGGTTTTTCAGTGTTTTCAGTTGAAAAACACATTGATTTGGAAAATCTTACAAAAATCAAGTACTTGTTGGATTTTAATGAAACCTTCAGAACTTATTCACAAATGAATGAAATTATTTTAGAAATGTTTGTCTTTTCGAAAGTCATGGTATAAATATTTTTTTTATATTTGTTAACACCCCCCAAACTTAATTTTATGAAAACTTCAAAAAAATGTTTTTGCGACCTTTTTTTTTTTTTTTTCAATTAAATGAACAAGACTCTGAAGAATGTAAATCATTGATTTATTTGGTAAAAAAAAAAAATGCGCAAAATTGTCCAAACTTTTACCTCAATTGTAAAATTACAAAACCCAATGAAACTAAGACAATATTTAATTAAAAAATCTTTTAATGACTTTTCTGAATAATATATACTAAGGTAATTTTTATCTGAAAGAAAGAAATTTTTTTGATGAAAAATGAATTTTTACAATTTTTTCTTTTTTTTTCAATTTTAAATGCATAGTATGACAAAAGGTTGTTATATATTTTAAAATTAAGTTTCTTTATGAAACCTTATGGAAATTATATATTATGTTCTCTACTTTTTGAAGATCATAAATTTGAAAGCTTATTAAAATCTGACAACCATTGATATTTTTAAAATAATTTTTTAATATTCCAAAATTGTATTTAAAATCGTCTCCAACGAAAGTATGAATGCACAGCTTTGAAATAATGTCATGTGAGTAGTTTCCCTTGATAGAAGCAAGTTGTTTTTCAGAAATTGCTTTGCATTTGTTCAGTTAGCAACACAAAGCTTGTGAAGTTTTCTGACTGAATATCATCGCATTTTCAAAATTTTCTTTTCAATTTTCAAATATAAACAGGACTACGTAAAATTACCTTGCGGTGGTTCTGACAGCACCAAAAATTGGAAAACCACAATTGTTTTTGCACAAAATCAATTTGAAAACACGATTAAGAGGCATCGCTGTTGCAAGAATGAAAGGGGGACAACTCATATCGAGTTATACTTATTATAAATATAAATAAAAAATAAAACTAATTAAGACATGCGTGTCCGTCAACCTTAAACAATAATCTTTGTCAATTTTATTTTTCAGTCTTTATGATGGTCGATACTTGATCTATCTCTTACTGTTACATCCCTGGGCAACGCCGGGCTCTACTGCTAGTTATTAATAAAAAGAAAGACCAAAGGGGTTTTTTTTTTTTTTTTTTTTTTTTCTCTCTCTCTCTCTCTCTCTCTCTAAAATTAAAATATATTTCAATCCCATTTAAGACTTTCAAATTTTTGGTTAAAAATTTTGTTTTTCTTGTGTTGGCAGATGGCCATAAATTAGTATGGGAAATTGGAGTGTCGTTTTATGGTAATGAATACTTTGATTTGGAAATTCTTTCAAAAATTAGATAATTGTCAGTTTCATGAAACTTTCAGGAATTATTCACAAAGGAATTAAATTATTTTAGAAACATTTCTTAGAAAAACTTGATAGAAAAAAAAATATTCCTATTACATTTTACACTTATTTAATTTATGCAATTTCGAAAAATTCATTTTTGTAGAGTTTAATGTTTATATTAGTTTTATAAGGACAATTCCTTGGAGAATTTAAATTCTGTTTGTTTTTTGGGGTTTTTTTTTTTTTTTCAAACAGGACTCCTAGTTACAGAAAATCTACTCTGAATTGTAGAATTGTAAAATAAAAAAATGCAATAAAACTAAGACATTTAATTAGAAAAGTTTTTAATTGCTTTTATGAATAAGATATATTGTAGACATTCTTGTCCTAAGAAAAGAATTTTAAAGTTTTAAATCTTAAAATTCTGTATTAATTTGTAGCAGTCAAGTGTAAAAACTATATTTATCAATCATAATTGGAAAAGCTTACTATAATTCAGCAAACCCCAGACATTTTTGTTTTTCTCTTTGCTGTTGACATCCACAAAAAGTACACATTATTTTGTCTTTTTCTCTTTATCATGTATGTGTCCATTTCCTCTACCAGATCTGTAACTTTTGTTGTATTAGATTTTCAAATTCTTGTTGCTGAACAAATTCAACACACTGTTCTAGTGACAACCCTTCTAGTTTTAAATGCATTAGTCATTTGCTGATATTCCTCATTTTGAAGGCTGTTCACAAATTTCATTTAAATGAAAATCCTCTTCAATTGACTGATTTTTGTGCTCCCAGTTTCTCAAATTCAAATATTTAGCAGCCTGTTTTAAACAAAGGAAATATTCAATAACTGGTTCATTCATGAGAAATGTTCATAAACTTAACTCTTTCCGTATTCACTAGTTTTTTTTTTCTTGGGTGCTATGTTTTTCACTATTAGTTGACTTATATCGTCAAACAGTGTTTCCTCCAACTGTCTTGGGTGTGCAATTGCTGATAATATTATAATGGCCTCACAACCAGCAGTTAGCAACAAAAGGTTTGCTATTTGGTTTTCTCACCCAACTGATTTTAAATCCTTTAGTTTTTTTTTTTTTTTTTTTGTTCTAGCTTTAACTGCTAGTATCCTAAGCCACGCTTGTGCATACTCATAATTATCAAGTGATAATTGTTCACTCAGTTCTTTTGATATTGGTGATGCCACTGTAGTGTTACTGACTCACGGGAAGTAGTATACACTCAATTGCCTTATTGGTAACAGCCATAGTTATTTATAGTCTTTATGACTTTCTATGCAAATGAGTAACCTCACCACTAGTACACATGTTTTTACAGGGAGTGGAAGTGAAAGAGAAGACTCAGAATAGGGAGGATTGAGGAAAGGACAAAAGATGAATGGGGTTCAAGGAGACAGAAGATAGCAGTTTGTGTTATGTCTAAATTTTTGAAGAGTGTAGTTATCAGAGAAGCAAGGAAAATGGAAGAGAGTTCCACAGGTGGGAAGTACAAGAAAAGAAACTGTTGGGGTAGAAGTGGCAGTTGGCAAAACACATTTTAAATAATTTAAATTCCTTTGAAGTAAATTTTGGTTTTATTTGAAAGATAATAGCCTAAAGCTAATCCAAATTAAAAGAAAAATTATTTTCCATATATAATTTTTATGCATTTTTAAAACATTGACATGTTCACTTGTCCGTCCGATGACAGCACAAATGACTTTTGACACATTTTTATATTCTCACTATCTTATCAATAAACTACAAAGATCATTTGTTTTTTAGTTGTGTTTTTATCTTTCTTAAAATAAACATAATAGGCTGAAGACATTGCTCATTTTATTCCAGTTTCAATGTTCAAAACAAAAAGTACCATATATACTTGCAGATAGGTCACACTTTTTTTGCTAAAAATTTCCCAAAATATTAGTGGTGCGACCTATCAGCTTGGCATAAATGTAAAACAACACTGCCTAGTCATCATGATTTCTGAGAAATCCCCTGAACAAATGATTATTAAGTCCTTCAAAAGATGTAACTGAAGATGACATATTATATAAAGATTTAGTTGCTTCAAAGCACAGAAAAGGCTGATAATGAAGATATGTTTGCTTCAAACAAAGATGAAGATGGTTATATCACAAGTGATGATGAGTTGAATGATTACTATGAAATGGACAATGATGAAAACCTATTAAATAAACAAATGAGAATGATGTTTGATAGTGAAGAATTCTTGCAATTCAGTTCTGAATAAATTTTAAAACTCTAACTTGATATATAAATAGATAAACACTTTTTTCTAAATGTACTATAACATTTTCTTGTGTACTTTTTTTTTGTCGAGTTGACTCTATAAAATATGTGGTAAATATAAAAATACTGGTACAACAGTTACTTCCTTTTGTTTACATGATGATTGACAAAATGTATTTTAACTGCAAAAGTGTATTGTAAGTTTTGAAATAAAGGTAGAAATAAATGTAGATATCTGATAATTCTTACGTTTAACTTCCCAGATTATAGTGCAACCTATCTGCGAGTCAACAGTAAATCATCATTTATTAAACCATAAAATAGGGGTTCAACCTATCCGGGTGTATATATGGTATGCTAATTTTGACATCTATTAATTTTTTATTTATTTATGTTTCTCCTTTCTTCCTATTTTTATTTTCAGTCTGGCCCATTCACTGCAAAAGAAGAATATGTCAAATTGTGGGAAGATGCACACTATAAGCAAAAAGAAGCTGCTCTTGGACAACCTTTGACCCCACTACAAAGGTTCCGTTTACGCAAAAAGTATAACTTTTTTTTTTTCTTAAATATCCCATGTAATCAATTTTGGGGGCCAAAAACATTTCAGTACCTCGTGTGTGTGTGTGTGTGTGTGCCACATTCTGAGCACAGGTGATTATTTTCAACAGAGTATTCTGTCATGTGATCATGCGTAGGAAATTAGCTTATGATTAGATTGTGAGGTGCAATTACAAAGATTACACAGGAACAATCATGTATGAATGGGAAAGGTTGGTTATCAACCCCTGTTGAATGAAGTGAAGATAATGGAGAACACTTGAGGATAAAATGACTGAAAAAACCAGCACGTGTTTTAAGCTCTACAACTTTCTAAGGAGACCTAGTATAGAGATGAGCATTATCTGGGGCTTCTGATTAAGAAAGAAAAAAATACAACCTCCTGAGTACAGATATCAGGATTATGACTCTTAAAAATCATATACTGTGTCTAATGGTTTAAATCATTGAGTAAAGTGTTTCTGGGAGTCATGAGTTCAATCCCTGGGTTGGGTAGTGTGGAAAAATTGTATACTCTGGTTCAGTGTAAGGAGTGGATAAGAGACACAAAAAGAATAGATTCAAGAGTATTAACTGATAAGCGTCACTTCTCCTAAGCATGGGAAATGAAATGAGAACAATCTGTGACACTGGGATCTCCGAGGTTGAAGAGGAAGAAAGAAAGAAGAGGAAAGAGTCTACTAACTGGATGATAATTGTTAAAACTCACAGGAAGATGAATTGAAAAGTTGAGAAGAAAATGAAAAACAAAATGCATTGAGAAATCATATTTTAAAATTAATTCCAAGGAGAATTGAACCTAAATTTAACTAAACTGATCTCAGTAACATTGAGCAAAACCAAGATTTACCCGTCCTTCTCCACTTCCTGTTGATGAGAAAGGGACCGTGTTGATATCAATTAAAAAAAAAATACATTGATAAAGAGATCCAGGTGGTCACCGAAATAACATTTAAAGACCACTCTGAATGAAAAAGCCAGGGAAAGGAAACTTTTGGTTTGAATCAGCCACCCAGAAGAGAAGTGTGTATAGAGATAGAAGCCTACTTGATGCATTCATCATTATAATTTTTTTACATTCGCCCAAAAAAATTTTTATTTGAATTCCTTTGGATAAAAGTGATAAAGAAAAATTAATTACAATTGGAGTGACCATGGACAAGAACGCTGTGTGGTTTGTTGATCATAAAAATGTATAAACAGAGAAAAGAGAAACTTCTGTTTTTATCATTAAAGAGATTGGGAATAATTTTCTTTCCCAATTCTTAAGTGGTCTGGTCAATTGAGAAATCACAGCATGGGACAAGCTGATAAAGATTAATGACTGAAAATTCCTTTTGTTTTCATTACGCCATCTGGAAATTGTCACACCGGTTCGAGGATCAGACTGAGTTTGGCTGCTGAGAAAGTTGGAGAAAGTTTAGCATGGAACAATGGTGTGAGATGAGACATGAAAAGAATTGGAGTTAAGGATAGGTAGTTCCTCTGACCACTCTCAATGGTGGGGGATGGGGGGTTTGGACAATACCAAATTTGGAAAACTACTTGAGTAAATATATTTTGAGAATATGGAATTTTACAAAAAGGTTGATGCTAAGGGTGGAAGGCAACAAACGCTAGATGCAGGACTCCATATAAGTCAGAGGTTTGGACAACTTGTAGAGAGTTCCCACACTACTGTTACTGAAATCCACATCATTCACCAAAACCTGACGAAGAGCTTGTGACGGCCCTGAAGACCAGAACTTAAAAATTTTAGTTACTGTTAAAACAAGCTGCAGACTTCAGAGGGGATCCCAGTGTCATTTGATTATAACAATAAGTGGGAAAGGTTAAACAAATCATATAATCAAATCATTGTTACATTTTTAACCCAAGTTAATTCTTTATTCCAAAGGATTCTTATCTATGTAGCTCCCAGCTTCACTCCAGTTTGCTTCATCAGCGATCTTCTCACCCTCTGAGTGAAATCAAAAAAATATGTGGCAGAGGACTGAATGAATGTGAACAAATGCCAGCTGAGTGGAACCATGACCACCTTCACAATACCAGCAACAAACAAACAAGCCATGTGTTAACGGGTGAGGAGTCTGCTAGATGTTAACCACAGTGACCTGACAGAACTTTAAGACCAACATGGGGCATAAGGCTACATTATTAATGGCTGTTGACTTGAGTTGACATTATTGGTTACTGTTGACAAGGATTGGCATGTAGTTACATATATGGTTACTGTTGACCAGGATCAATGAGTGGGGTTACAAATCCACCTCTGTAGATTGAATAAAGGGTTAGGTTCAAACTTCTGAGGAAGTTATCTAGGACAATAGACACCTAAAGAAGACTAGAGGGTACAACTGAAACATTGTGAGTATAGCAACCAAGATAAGAGATAATGGTCCAAATGAAAAAGCAGCACTACTTAAATTTACTTAAAAATCAGAATCAATTTGGCAGGGGCAATAATTTTAGTAGATTAGTGTTCATTAGGCCCATTTCAGACCAGGACATTTGTCAGGATCAAAAAATATTGTTTTTTTTTTCTTTTTTTTTCTTTTTTTTTTTGTTTTTTTTTAAATCAATTTAGAAGGCACTGTTCATAATTTTTTTGATGTCAACGAACATTCATTGTCACTTTTGTAATGCTCGTTGTAGTAGAGAATTTGTAATCACAGATACAACTATAATAACGCCGTTGAACGATACTGGGGTCGGACACCTTCGAATAACACCCAGACTAATAGTATTTGCTCGATGATACTTGCTCAAAAAGTAACTCCCTGAATAGTTATCCGTATAGCGATCACTTAGACACCCTGCTAATTCCTATATATATATATATATATATATATATATATATATATATATTTATCATCACGTGATCTACTTATTCAAATTGGATCACCTATGTTTGCTCTCTGGTGATGTGTGTTCAAACTCCAGTGTCGGCAGCGACACTTTACTCCTATATAACAATAATTTAAATACAGTGTTGAATCAATCCCTAATTTTTTTTTTTCATAAAGTTTAAGTACTTTTTCTTTACAAATGTAAGGTTTACATAAATGATATCTGTATGCAACTGATGTTAATTTTTTTTTTTTTTTTTTTAACTTGGGCATGGAACTTATTTCAGAAACAATTGCACAAATATTGGAGTATAATGATTGTTTATCTTAAATGAGGAACAAATGTGCATTGATTAGTTTGTTTAAATTTCAAAATATTACATTAAGATATCCCAAAATCTGCTTTACTGAAATGTGACAGATGAGGAAAGTGAAGTGTGGTGATGGCGATTTGACATTTGTAAATAAAAAAATAAGTACTGACAACTCTTTAAAATATCAGGAATCAATTTGATACTATTTATATTATGATCAGTACCCCACTTCTAAATTTATTTTTTTTTTTTAAAAATCTTTTTCAATCCTAACAAATGTTATGGCTTGAGAAAGGTTTAATGAATGCTGATCACTAAAAACTATCCACCGCTTCCCTTTTTTTGTGAGCAGGCTAGTCAGTTTTTTTAAGTAGTAGTAAAAAGGCATATGATATTGTCTGCGTTCAAAAAATAATGTAAGCATTACTAATGGAATAGTGCTTTTAGATTTACAATAATGTATTTTTTTTTTTTTTTTTTTATTATTATGGAATTTACTTCAAGCAACTCAAGTTACTGGGTGTGAAAGAATTAGAAAACACTAGCAGTAGAGCCCGGCATTGCCCGGGGATGTAACAGTAAGAGATAGATCAAGTATCGACCATTATAAAGACTGAAAAATAAAATTGACAAAGATTATTGTTTAAGGTTGACAGACACACATGTCTAAATTATTTATTTATTTATTTATTTTTTTACGAATTGGTCAAACTCAAACAAAAACATTGTTCTCAATCGTTATGAGTCTACCAATTGAATAGAATTTTATTACAAACACTTGTCTTGTAAATGGAATTTTTAAAGCATTCTGAATGTAAAAATAAAGAAAAAAGTGTGCAAGAAAATAAGAAACACTACCTGCCAAAAAAAAGTGAAGTTTTGTTGAAAAATGTAGGAAATCCGATCCCATATATAAACGCACACACACACACGCACGCACAAACAACCTGGGTTTTATAATAAGTATAACTCGATATGAGTTGTCCCCCTTTCATTCTTGCAACAGCGATGCCTCTTAATCGTATTTTCAAATTGATTTTGTGCAAAAACAATTGTTTTTTTCCAATTTTTGGCGCTGTCAGAACCACCACAAAGCAATTTTACATAGTCCTGGGAAGTTTCGTTGAAATCAGTTGAAAAATGTAGGAAATCCAATATATAAATGAACACACACACACACACAACCTGGGTTTTATAATAAGTATGATAAAGGAGCAAGAACAATAGAAGAGTAATCAGGAAGACAGTAAATAACAATTGACATTGCATTTAAATTTTTGAAGATCAAAATTGGCCAGATAGCATGGAGCTGGATGTGAGTTTCACAAGCGAGATACGTGCAAAAAGAAACTGTTAGCAGAGAACTAGCCAATTACATCTAGCCAATTCAACTGTAAATTGAGACTTTGTTGCCAATTTAGTACTGCACTTAAATTCATAAAGTCTAGGTACCATAGTGAAGAGAACTCATCTAAACAATTACCATGAAAATATTTATAGAAAAGACACAGGGTGTTTAAGGTTTTACTGTATTGAAAATCAGAATGAAAAACATTGTCATTGTTCAGGGATTAATGCAGGATAATGATTGCTAACTTCAGGTGGTTGGAATTTCGAACTGAACCCTTTATTTCGATCGCTGGGGTAGACTGTTCTAATTCCACGTGCCATGTTTGATGGATGTCAGTTATCAGTTATCTCCTGCTAATTTTCCTCTGAAAGTTCTCCACTGCCTTAACCAGGAATTGAATTAGCAGGAGATAACTGATAACTGACATCCATCAAACATGGCACGTGGAATTAGAACAGTCTACCCCAGCGATCGAAATAAAGGGTTCAGTTCGAAATTCCAACCACCTGAAGAAGGCCGGAGCGTACAACGGCCGAAACATTGTGACAAATATGGCGACAAAGATGAGGACAATAGTCCGACTAATGTAAATACTGTACATAATACCTCATCTCAGAAATATAGACAAACAATGATTGCTAAATCGTGTATGTCATAATTTTATTTATAATTCTGCATATTTGCATAATTCTGTTAAAAATAAAGTTGATATTTGATGAAAATTTAGATTTTACACTAACACTGAGAATTAGTGTCTTGTGATACTATGGACACCCACATAGAAAAAGATGCGGTTTATCTTGATCTTAAGTGTAACTGTTTAATGGTCAGCAGGTGGTCCTTATTGAAGTCTTGTTTCTAAGCAGCATTCACTTTGATCAAGGTGGAACATGAAATAAGAGTTTGAGGGAATTTTGGAGATCAAGTGACAACAAACCAGATATATCCAGGTTCTGGCCTATATTAACAGTTATGCTTGGAATTGGAGTGAGTGCTGATCAACCCTTGGTGGGAGATGGACTTGTCTGTCGTGTGGTTCCAGTGTTGTCCATTTGTATTGCTAGCTGCATATTTGGATATGTAGATGGGCAAGGAGTTGGTCGTGAGAAGAGCTGACATAGCAGAAGTTGCCAAAAGTCGCCTTATATGTTGACAGATTATTATGTCTGTAATTTTGTTTGGTTGAAAAAAAAATGTTTTCGATAAACTCTTTTTTTTTTTTTTTTTTTTTAGTCTAGCATCATTCATGAATCAGACAGAAAAGTTAAATAGCAGGACAGACTGGGCTCTCCAGCAGTTGTTGACAATCAATCTATGAAGATGATATGTCCCAAAAAGGGATATATTTGTTCGAAGAAACAAAGTGGTTTTGGACTGCTGTAACCAAGTAGGACAATCTAGCAGGTAACCGTAATGGACTGGTACTCGTCATAGTGGTAGGCAATAGGCGTCCTCGTGTACCTCCACATCGGTCTGTATTTATGGCTGACACCAGCCAATTATATTACTGTGAGGAGGAACCCAGGTGTATGTATATTCATTACATGAGAAGAGAATAATTATGAATTCAAAACTGTATGTAGCCCTGGGACCAAATCACGGGTTGTACTTTGACAAAGCATAGCACCAAGAAGCCACCTCTTCTAGAATTACAGTGAAGATGTTGGATGTGATCAGTGGCAGATTCTAACGGACCAGATTTGCGGCATCATGCAAAAAGATCCTTCATTTCATATTGGACAATGGATGGCACCTAATTATTTCAAGTTAGATGGAAACTTGGAACACATAGATCAGTACCTTGTGTCTCCTAATATGTGCACAATTGAAAGCCCTATAATAACACATGAGGAAGGGGGGCATCTCAGCAGAAAGGCTAGTTATTTAGTTAAAAAAAGAATATTACTTAGAAAGAATAAGCCTCTGGTGAGATTTGAAACCATATCCCTTATCCTTGAAAACCTTTCATACTGGTAGTGCCTTGGTAAATTAGACTATGTATATTTACCTGTGTTATTCATATTTCATCACATAACTATATTCTTCCAGGTCCACTTTTATTTCTGTGCCATATTGTTTGCTTACATTAATAGTAGTTGTAGTAATAGCCTTCAGTTATCCAACTTACTTAGATGAGTATTATGATTAATGTCTTTTTTTTTCTTCATGTCTCATCAGGATATAGGTGGTCATGGCTTACCAGTTTCCTTTTCTGTAATATCTGAATTGCCATAAATTCTTGGGAAAGGTAGTGTAACTGCTGCCCATTGCCTCCTTCACAATTTTGAATTTAAAGTTTACACCAGGACTAGAGAGCCCAGTCTGCTTTATAATTTTACCTATAGCTGGGAGGAAGAAAAGAGATGGATCCATGCCTTTTCTGATAGTATTAGTCAGAAGTGAATACAACAGTCAGGGCTGGAATTTGAACTTAGCATACCAATTCCATTTCCGTGCCAATAGCTGTTGCACAATCTGCATATAAAATAATGACATTCCTTCCTTCAAGAAATTTAAGATGAATTAAAATTTGTTGTCATTTTTCAGATTTCCTCCTCCTGTCAACATTTGTCCTTCTGGTAGACAAATTATCAATCCTCTTTTCAAAGAAGCCAGTGTCATTTTGAAACACTGGTACCAAGAGCACTCTACTTATCCTTATCCAAGTGTAAAAGAAAAGCAAATGCTTGCTCAGAGGACCGGCTTGACATTGTACCAAATAAAAACCTGGTTTGCTAACACAAGGCGTCGGAAAAAGATCCATCAGATGCAATCCAGCCTGAAACATCACAAATTATTAAACAAAAAACTTTTCCTTCTCGATTCAGAGACACTGGTAAAGGAGTCCAGCAAGGCTTTAGATCTTTCAATTCAGAATCTAGAAACAAAAGCTGACCAAGAAAGGGCTTCATCTGATCAAGCAGGTGGGATGTACACAGATGCTGAATGTCTTTTGAAGCAGGCTAATAAAAAAACACATGCAAATTTGAAAGAGGAAAGCAGTGAAGAGCAGAGAAATGAAAACAGTCAAAATGTGTCTCAAACTAGCCACAAGTGGTGCTTTTATTGTTCGGATTTTGGTGAGGCTTCTCTCCATGAAACTGACCAACAATCCATATCTAGTTCTGAAACTGGAACATTCCTAAATACCAATCTTGGAAAAGAGTTCTCTGAAAAGCAGAACTCTGCCAATGTACCAAATTCCTTGAAAGGGAGAAAAAATTCTGATTTGATTAACATGTTCATGCCCCAACATATGTCACTGGAGGCAAATTTAAACAAAAATACAAATAATTTCAACCCTCATTCCTCATCCGAGGAACTGACAAAACCAATAAATCCTCAGCGGTCAGAAGTCAGATTCCAGATTCTAAATAAAACCACATATTCTCCTTTGCATCTTCCATCTGTCAGTGTCTCCCAACAGCAACAAGTCACTACCAGCTGTTGTGATACTCTATCGATTCCTTCACCAACACCTAGTCAGTTCCTAACAAATATAACACAAACACCAACAGATTTCATCTGCCCAAATCCTACCATTTACCCTATTCCCATTGTGACAACTCCAATTGACCCATCTGTGAATCTCGGTGTTTTTAGACAAGACAGAAGTTACCATCCAAGTAGCCAGAGTCCAGTCAATTCTTCCATGATGTTGAACCAAGAAATTCAAAATACATTTCAAAGTGAGTAATCAGTTATGCATTCTTTTAAATGATAAATCAACCACAACTATTGTTGTATTAAAAGTATTTTGTTTTTAAGAGACCTTTTCCTCTGAACTTTATTTCAGGTACAATATATATATATATATATATATATATATATATATATGATAGACACACACACACAGTGTTCCCCAAAATTGTACTCATTCTTTAAATGACAATAAATACCCTGTTTATAGACTTGCAAATGAGATTAGTGGTTAAAATAAAGGAATGTTAATGGCTTACGAAGAAGATTATCAGTTTATATTAAATTTTAAATATTTGAACTGATGGCAAAGTCAAAAGATGAGTAAATTTGGGTGGCAGGCTGTATCTTGTGGCAAGATAAAACATCCTTATAATAGAATTTTTACAAGCAAGTAATAGTTGTGTGGTATTTTTTTACAAGTTGAAAAATTAACTGTTGAGATTTTTCTTAACCGGAATCTAATTAATAGACAGACAAACAGATAAATAAATAACCACAAAGATGTGAATGGCACCTGTATAAATATATTTGAATGATTCTCCCCACCCCCAAACCAAATTAGGACATATTTCAATACAACCACAGTAAAAAAAAAAATTATAAACACTAAATGGCATTATAACAATTAAACAATCAAAATAAATATGATTTTGTTATATTGATATCATTTCAGTTTATGAAACTATTTAGAAGTTATAATATCTAGAAAATTAAAATCATTGCTTTATAAATACTTGAGGGGCCCTAGACAGCAGCCTATGCTAGCCTAAAGGATAATCCAGCCCTGGGAAAACTTAGGAAACTTTTGAACTTATACAAGTTAGATTAAAGATAAGAATCTTATTGAGAGAAAGTCTTCATTGATAATTCTGAATTTTATTCTTACAGACAATTTTGATTCCTATGCAACTCCTACAGAATCAATACCTTATTTAACCAACCCAAATTTGAACTCTTCCTTTATGAGTGAATATCCAGTGTCAAATACTCTTCATCCAGCTACAGAGACCTTGGCATTTGGAGTTGCTTGTCCACTTCTACCTTCTACCACAAGCATAAATCACCATCTTCAGATCATCCCATCATCCAACCTTCAGGCTGTTCAGATAAATAAAGATTGGAATCAGTTGACCAGGTTTGTCAGAGTTGGTCTTCTTTCTTCTTTTTTTTTTTTTAATTATAGGACAAAATAATTTTTGCAAAGTTGGACATTTGTTCCCACACAAAAAATGGAATATCAAAAGGATAATTTTCCCCTTGACACTGCTATTATTTTAACTACTGTCACTCTTCAGCAAAGTTTGTTTTAAAAAGCAATGATTAGAATTGTAATAAAACCTAAACATCTGATGAAAGTGAATAGATCCTAATTATATCCTCTTCCTCAAAATGTATAAAACATTTTTAGGAAGAGGATATATTTTTGAATTTATTGTAGAGAATTTTTGAATTCTAATGTTTATTTTTACTATTTATTCTGTAGTCAATTATTTTCTATCATTTAAGATTTGTTTTAAGAGCAACAATAATTAGTTTTATATATGTAATTAATGGCTATTTTATATATCATCTTAGAATATTCTTGGGGAAGCTGCTATCAAGTCTTACCAAAATATAAATCTGCAGCAAAATTTTTTTCAAATATCTCCTTTCCTGAAAGATAAACTCCGTTCCCAAACACACATGACTATAAAAAAATTTTTTTTAGATTAAAAGATAACTGTTAAATTCAAAACCTTCTCTTTTTTAAAATATATAAATGCATAAATTTATTTCTCAGACTAAAATAAAATAAATAATAATTACATCATTAAAAAAAAATTCAGCAACAATAACATTTACTCACTTTCATTAGACAATAAATTACATCATCTAGCATGCTATATAATTTACCTTGACTCTCAGAGTTAAGTATATTTATAAGCATTCTTAAATTTTAAAATTCTAGAAAAACTAACATTTTTCTTCTGTTTCTAAATACTTGTTGCAAAATTAAACCTTTACATTAATGAAGTCCATCAGATGACAAAATGTATCAGCTAAGGAAAGTATACTTACTGTCTTGATATACAGTAATCTCTCAATTAGTGCACTATCCATAGTAATTGAAAGCTGAATTTTTACAGTTACCAATTAACTAAAAAAAAAATTTCTAAACTTTAAAAATGGAAAATGGTAACTAATTTCAATTAGTGCATATCTTTAAATGTACACATTTGTTGCACTAGTCAAGGAATTCCTGTGTGTGTGTGTGTGTGTGTGTAAATTTTGTATATCAGCAAACAGTATTTAGAAAAATATGACAAACTGGAAAATTTCTTGTGATGTGTTTCATCCATTAGGATTTCATCAGACTGGACTTTGTTAATGTTGCCATGCCTACACGCATGCACAAAACAAGACACAGAGTTTCAAAAATTTTTGAAAGATTTTTTTTTTTTTTTTTTAAATCTAGCCAAATTCATCCTCAAATTTGTCACAACTCCATCTAAAGCAATCAAAGACAATAAATAAAAAAACTAAACAACCAGCCAAAACTTGAAGGTGGAATTTATTCTATCAAATGCAGGAATTTCCAGAATGAATATATTGGCGAAACGTCAAGAAGTTTAAACAAGTGACTACATGAACACAAAAGGGATATTTTAAATAACAATAACACACAAAACGCATTGCTTGTTCGCCGTAACAAAACAGACCACAATTTTGACATAGGAATTGCTACTTTGATTAAAAGAGAAAATAACCTACTGAGATGAAACTGTCTGGAAAGTGCCTTGATCCCTAGTTCAGCCATGATAAATTTGCGTCCAGGCTCTTACAATATAACCCCATTCTTGGTAGGTTTCATATTGTCACAGTGTGGGATAGTCAGGGACAAAGGTGATGGAGAGAAAAAGAATACAGATGAATTTGGCTAAATTGAAACAAAAAAAAAATATTCTTTAAAGAAATTTTGAATCTACCAGCATCTCTCATTTTGTGCACATGTGTAGATGTGGTGACATTAAAAAAAGCCCAGTTTGATGAAATCCTAACAGATGAAACACATCGCAAGGAATTTTCCAGTTAGTCATGTTTTTCTAAATATATGTAATTTCACATAGATTATATCTATAAAAGGAGAAACAAAATGAATAAAGAGAAAAAGAAAACCTATCTTAGCCAATGTGTTTTGTCCTATGAGCATAGTTTCACCTGTGCCATTCTACAGAAGGTATGAAAAATATCTAATATTGTATCATAGCTAAGTGGTGTATTTTACCATGTCGACCTTATAACTTCAAGGATAAAGACTTTGCTCAGTCTGACATTGCACAAAAACAGCATTTTGCATCTGTTTTTTGTTTTAAATGTTTTTGTATAGGTCATGTGGCCAATCTCCTGCAGCTGGTCATGATATAATGAAACTTGGGACATCTATATCACAAATATCTCAAAACCTGGACGGTGTAACCAGAAAAAAAGAATTAATGGTAAGCATTTTGAATGAAAACTGTTGAGTTTATATTTCAGAGATATGTTGTTACTATTATACATTAATTTTATTTGGACTATTTTCATGCTTTTATAGCACGCGTTAGGGTCCCAGCTATGGCAAATAGTTTAACCTCCAAACTGGAATCAAAGCACTATGAAAGTGTAAAAATAGGTTTTAATACCAGCAATATATGTTGTGGAAAAAATTATTACCAGCAATACAATTTTATAATATTAATGGCAATAAAAATCTTGTTGACATTAAATAGCCCATTGACATTGATATGCCATCTAAAAAAATAAAAAGAGAAAAAAAGAAATAACCCCTGATTAAAGATATAGTTTTTGAATTTTTAAGAACTAATATGCTAAACAAATGTTCTAGGTTTTCTATTACATTAGTCAGACACAAAACAGTGCTCCATCCTCACCCCATATTGTAAGAAGACTTGACATTTTTTAAAGGACATAAAGCTTACCAACTCGGTCTGTCCTCTCTTCTACTTTTTGTTTCATTTGAGTTCTGTGACAATGGGCCAAAAAGGCAGTTTGGTGATTTATAAGGGAAGAGTACACTGTAATTAGCCAAACTTCAACTACATTTAAAATTTAAAGCTAGGTTTACTTGTATTACTAATCCCTAATCAGCAGGAATCTAGTTTTAAATGATCTTTGAATAAATTTACTTATTTAGAAAAATAGAAGCGCTTTTCTTTCTTTTCTTTTTTCTTCTTTTTTTCTTCTTTTTTTCTTCTTTTTTTCTTCTTTTTTTTCTTTTTTTCTTTTTTTTTTTTTTTTTTTTCTTTTTTTTTCTTTTTTTCTTTTTTTTCTTCTTTTTTTCTTTTTTTTTTTTTTTTTTCTTTTTCTTTTTTTTGTGTGTGTAATAAAGTGTAAAAATGTTCATGACCGAAGATGAAAAGAAAATTATATTATAATCATTTGCAATTAAATAAGTGCAAGGCAATAAAGCCACTAAAACACACAGGGTTAATGAGTGTGGAAAGAACAATGAAAAAGAGAAGCATTATTAAAGATAGAAGAGTAATCAAAAAGACAGTAGATAACAATTGACATTGCATTTAAATTTTTGAAGATCAAAATTGGCTAGCAAGGAATAAGCCAGAATTCCACAAGCAAGGAGTGCAAGAAAAGAAATTGTTATCATAGGACTTACAGTTACATCTAATTCAATTGTGAATTGAATAGACCTTACTGCCAATCTAGTGCTGCACTTAAATTCATAAAATATCATACTGAAGAATTCATCCAAACAATTGCCATGAAAGAATTTATAGTAAAGTCACAGAGAAGCTACATTATGGCAGTTGGAAAATGTCTGAAGATGAGACACCTGGTCAGAACCAATAATATTGTTGATTCTCTTTTGGATTTTATCAAGAACCTCTCGATATATGGCAGCAATTTTTTAACAAACACACAAAAATTCAGGGTGGACATAAGCACAGACAGAATTTTTAACAGTATTGTGCTACAGTAACAAACACACTCAAAAACAGAAATTAGATCATTACAATGACAGAATTCTATGCAGTTTTATTAAGATTTTCTTTGATTAGGAAAATATTTTTGTTATGAGCTTTTCAGATTATATTATTACTACAAATGTTCATTTTCATTTCAAATAATGTCCTCATCTTTGTTGTTATCATAACATTTCTGTCATTGTGCACTTTCAGGGGTCCAATCCTGGTAACCTATAGTTTTGAAATTAACCCTTTATATAATGATAAAAGAACAAGATAAGCTATTCCTAAGCATGGACAGCAAAACCAAGTTAATCTCTGTTGATTAAATAAAGGGTCCATCAGTTCAAAATTTAGATTAGAGGTTACCTAGATCAACAGATGCAGGGAAAAGACTCAAAGGTATAAATGACCAAATTTTTGTGATAATAAAGATGGTGACATTAGTCCAGATGTAAATAATGATAACTTCACATCTCAGTAAATACTTTAAATGAAACAAGAAATTCACCTTTATTATAATTACTGTAAAAATCCATGTAATTTATACATATTTCTTCACAAAAATAAACTTTAGTGGGTGCATAAATTACAGGAGTAGATCATTTCCAGGGTTTTTTAATTTTTTTCTTTTTTTTTTTTCTTTTGTTGGAAAAAGATTTACAAAACACAAACATTCGTACCAGAAGTCGACCCATTTAATGTCAGAATAAGTTTATACAGAAAAAATAAGGCCTTAAATGTAATGAAGTTGGCTTTTATTTATGTTGGACAGTATAATGCTTACTTTTTATGTATAAATTTATTAAAACCATTAAATGGTTAACTATTTTTTGAAGTCTGACATTTATATTGGTCATCACAATCCAGGCCATATGTTATATTGCTTGGAATTTCTACCTATCTCAATGGAGCATCATTGACATAGATAGTGATAAAGATAATTGTGACTGTATGGTTTTATTCTTGTCTGTTTTTGTTGTAAAATTGGCAGAATTGTTGAGAATGGTAAGGGAAAGGAAATAAATTGTAAACATTTACAATGTTGACAATCATGATTCTGACTTCTACATGTGAGCAAAATCCTAATGGAGCACCATTGCCATACATAACAATATAGATAATCTTGACTGGATAGACGTAATGATATGGATTATCTTGACTGTATGGTTTTATTCTGGACTTCTTTTTTTTTTTTTTTTTTTTTTTTGCCGTGAGATTGGCAAAATTAGTATTCACTGTTCACTTGTTAAAGTCCGTACTGTTTATCAAATGCAAAGAACTCGTCTTCATCATCCGACATAGAAAATGCCCCTGCATCAAAATCATTAGTGTCCTTGTCGTGATAAGAAACATCCATTGCATCATCTTGTTCATCAGCATGATCATCACATGTAGCAGGTTTGGGCTGCTACAAAACATTGTCTTGTGTACCATCAAGATGCTTGAAAATGCTGTACTTAAATGATTTCACAATTATCTCAGGTTCAAGTTCATTCCATGCCTCAAGAATGCATTGGTATATCTTGTCTAATTTGGGTTTTTTTCATATGGCCATCCATAGTAAAAGTATGTTTATCGCCACTAATCCAGTTGTTCCACTTTTGGGCACAAAGCTGTGACACTATTTAGCTATGGTAATTGGCTAACTAATTAACCATAGAAATTAAAAACGGGAAATACTTAAGGCGAGAAAGAGCTATATCAAAAGATAGACTGAGCGACATTAAAAAAAAAAAAAAAATAATAATTTTATTTACAAAAGAAAGATACTTTTCGCAAAAGACAGAAAATTCATAAGCAAAAGCGAGGCTGTGATTCTGTCAAAATTAATTAATGTTACGATAAGGGGGTGACGCACCAATATAAACAGAATTCAGATAGAAAAACAAAGCCTGCCATGGAGAAAATTTGGCTTGGGACCACCCTGGAGAATAGCTATTAATTATCTTTCAGAGATATCATTTAACTTTAATTCCTGATTCTAGCGAAGGGAGCCATCTGGTCTATGTACGAATTCAAGATTCGTACATCAAAAAAGAGTCAAAAAGGGGATCATTATTATTGCTTATTCAAACTGTTGACATCAGAGATAGCGTCTCGAAAATGAGCATCTGGTGATAAGAGAATTTTAAGACATGGGAAAAATAAAGAATTTGACCACCCAGTTAAAAGTTGACTAGCGGAGAAGCCAAATGTTGTGTCAACAATGATTAATGAGTCGATAGAGGCCCGGGCTAAGTGGATTTGGGTGTCCCCAAAATTACGACGTGATAAAGAATTATTTCGGCAATCTGGGATTTGTAAATGTTTTGACCAAAGGAAAAAGAAGAAAAAAAAGGATTTTGTAAACATGAGGGCCAGTCTAGCCACACCCACACTGCCAAGAGATCATTAGCCAACTGGTAGCATGAGTGATAGGCGAAGGTGAATGTATGAGAAAGACTGAGACATTGTTAACACCCACTGAGGGGATTAGTAAGAGATAACAATGTGAGAGAGGAAGAGTCTAGGAGGATAACTCCCCATCTGACCTTCCCTCATGGACAAGGGAGAAAACCCCAAAATGGAAAGTAATTAATCTTCCAAAAATGGGAAGTAATTAATTTTCCTGGCCTAAGAACAAAGAATTCCTGTTGAAAATTGTCAAAGAACCCAAACCATTACAGGCCCCCCACACTGGAGTTGGTCGGTATCCATATAAACAAACGTCTCGAGGCAGCTGAGTTTCGGAGAGTTCGGAGTTCCAGACAGTTCGAGTTTGGAGTTCGAGAGTGTTGCCTCACTGAAGCTGACTGAAAGATTTCCACGTCCTTTTTGACTTAGTCTTCCTACCAAAAGCAAGTTTTTATTGACAAATGATTTAAGATACCATAACTCACTTAAGAAACGCAAAAAGTGTCACGAATCCATAGAAGTGGGCCAGGAAGGAAACACACTCCTGTATTCAACAGTTAGATAAAGATAATTGTTAATTCTCAACATATTTGAACCCCGTGAGTTTGTTTTATTTTTATTTTTTTTATTTTACTTACGCTTGTGCGGTATCACCTTTACCCCGGATTCAGCTTGCACTACAGCCCGATGCCTGATTGATTTAATCTACCTAAGATCAAAATCACAACGTGGGTAGGATAGCCTTGAGATCAAAGCAGTTACTTCGGTAACCAGATGTTGGAAGTGAGCTGGGAACGACAAGTTGGTATCGAACTGGATTGACCGGGACACAGGCTGGTGGCAGCAACAATGAGTCAACCCCAAAACGCTGGTGGAAGAAACCTTACAGCTTCGCGCTGCAACTGGGAGTTGACCATGGGTTGACGGCGCAGTGTCATATGTTGACGTCGCAACCAGTGGACGTCACATATTGGCGCTGGACTGCGACCGCGACCACCAGTGCGAGTCACAAAGCACATCTCATACATCTTACATGGACATTTAATGGTTGCAAAAATCAGTCATTCCACTGGGAATGGTAACAAGTTCACAGTTGTCACTTCTTGATACATCTTTCACATCGTCTGACCTATGGCATCTAAAACTATTCAACGGTATTCAATTCCCCTTCACAGTAAATGAATCATAAGTTTTACCCATACTGACAATAACAGTAATGACAAATTTTTAATTTTGGTTGACAATTTATAAGTGTGAAAGGGATTCAAATTTCAATACTCCATCTCAAAGGTTCCAACAAGAGCTTGGGACAAGCAGACTCTCGCGACCTATCAGAATTCTGCTTAAATAATCAGTTTGGTCAGTCACCTCCCTCTGTTGGTTGAGTAAAGTGTCATACAAGCTGATGTTTAGTGGTAATTAAACTTAATTTACAACACCTGTGAGTATTTATCAGCTTTATTTTTGTTGATAATTCTTAACAACTTTTTCTGTGATTGTGATTTAAGGCATTAGTATGCTAAAGATTGGACATGATCTCCTTGTCACCAAGTAATGTAAAATAAAGTTTATTATAAACAACACAAATACTTTGTAATTTAATATCTTAATATGATACTTACCTGTTAAACAGAAACTATTTTTATTCAATGAAAATTTAATAAAATCTTATCATAAGTGAAATTATGCCAAATACAACTAAAGTGAAAACTCTTCCAAATACACACCCCTGGCCATACCAGCAATTCTGAAAAAGCTTCTTTTTTTTTTTCTCTCCAAACAAATTTTATTCTGAAAATCACCCGTGTAAATTATACAGATGCACAAATTACATGGGTTTTAATGGTATACAGTTTAAAGAAAATATTAGTTTAATAGATTTCTACAAGAGTTTTAGTAATATGTGGTCAGATTTTCCTTGAAAATTTCATTGTGTATTTTTGGTTGATTGAGACTTGCTTTTTGCCTGAAAACTTTATTATTATTATTCATGCTGTTTTGGTTTTTGCAACTTTGACTTTTCTCAAGTGTTTGAATTCAAACCAATGTACAACGATTATATATTGTTGAAAACAAGACAAAATGAATCTTCTTTCTTTTCACTGTCAACTTTTCTGGGGTGTCTAATAACAGACCACAGTGCTTACAACACATCATCTAAACAGATTCACATAAAATTATTGTCTTTTTCTTTCCAGAATGTAGAGAATGAAATTGCACACACCTTGCTGATACTTGCCAGAAATGGAAACAAAGCGCACATGTCAAATCAAGGCCAGTAACTTTTGCATCAGCTGGGAATCCATGACCATCATCAGTGTCCATTTGAGTTGTTTTAGAAACATTTTCACCAAGAAGCAACCACACACTCTTTTGACCAAGATTTTTATGTGAGATATATATATATATATATATATATTTGTTAGGAAGAGAAATCAAAATCTGAGATGATTCTTCTGAAAGATTTTTTTTTAGGATGGCTACCATAATTGTAAACAAGCTTTTTGATTCATATAAATTCTATCCTCATTGGGAATTTCACTATGTTGTATGTGAGTATATGCATGTATGTGTGTATTGTGTGTGTGAGTGTGCATGCATATATAAATTAAACTTTTGAAAGTTAATTGTTTATTTTTATACCTACATACATATAAGATATTTTATTATATATTATTTTTATAGATACAAATATTTAAGTAAATGCTCTGTTTCTAATAAACAGTATTAACAACATTTACCAGCCTGAATGTTCAAGAAATTTTCATAGAAAATATGTGTCCTCCAATAGGAATCACACCTGTATTCTACATGGAACCGTCATATCGCCCAACATAGTATACCAATTTAGCTACAGAGGAGCGGCTTGGTTAGCAAGGTCAATTTTTACTGTTTTCAAACTACAATTTTCTAGTGTGTGACGTCATTTGTTTACATTTGGATATGCTTTGAATAGAAATGAATGTTCAAGGGAAATTATAGAAAATTGTAGTTTAAAAACAGTAAAAAATTGACCTTGCTAACCAAGCCGCTCATCTGTAGCTAAATTGGTATATGTTGGGCTATATGACGGTTCCATGTAGAATACAGGTGTGATTCCTATTGGAGGGCACATATTTTCTATGAAAATTTCTTGAACATTCAGGCTGGTAAATGTTGTTAATACTGTTTATTAGAAACAGAGCATTTACTTAAATATTTGTGTCTATATATATATATATATATATATATATATATATATATATATATATACACACACACTGTATAAACATATGTTTTCACATTTTTGAAAGACATCTCACTCAAGATTACCACCTCCCGAAAATTTTTTTTTTTTTTTTTCTGTACATATTACCACCTCTGGAAAAATATTTTGTGTTATCATTACTTCCCGAAACTTTTACTTTTGTACCTATTACTACTTGAAAAAAATTTTGTGTTATCACCACCTCATGAAAGATTGTTTTTCCTTTACGTGTTATCACCACTTCCCCAATATTTTTTTTTTTTACATATTACCACCTATTTATTCATTTGTGTGTGTGTGTAATATTCATATATATTGAGTTGGGAAGAAAGTTCTGATTTCTAAATAGATAAATTATAAATAAAGCACAGGAACTTTCCTTCATACATAATGTGTGTCTGTGATTTAAATTCTGAGATGTCAATGGAATGGTAAAATATGACAATTTGGAAAAAAAATTATTTTTACATTTCACTGATCGAACGGTTGCATCAACAAATGGATTTTATTTCAAGTAAATACCACCAATGTAGATTTGGTTTGAAATAAAATTAATTTTCTGATGACCTTGATTGATCAGCAGAACATCAAAATAAGAGTTTTCAGAATTTTGTGTGTAAATAAAAAAAAAGTGGGCATTTGTCAACAAAGTGACAACAGCCTGTTTCATGCTTGAACACAATCTTCAAGCATGGAGATTGCATTTAAGCATGAAACAGACTGTCAATGTTGACTTCAATGAGACCACTTTTATATTTAAATATGCTCTATTCCTGATATTGAATACTTGAATCCATAAATATAGCATACCTTAAAACTATATTTTTGTGTGTGTGTGTGTGTGAATAACAGGAGGAGTCAAAAGTAGTGCCTAATTTATGTTTTTACAGCTGTCACTTAATTGTCTCCCACTTGCATCACAGTGTACAAAAAAGGTAGGAATGAATGAAAGACATTTATCTAACCATTTATTAGTGGAGGGGGTATTAAGGAACTGAACCAAGCTGTTTTGTTTGTATTCAAAATGTCCTCCCTTGTGATCAATTCAAAACTGTAGATGTGCAGTCCTTGAGTGAAATATGCATGCAGAGTTTAATATCAGTTTCCTCACACTTATGGTTTATGCCTTCAATTTGGAAATGGTATGCAGCTTTTTCTGATAAACAAGGTCTTTCACCTGCAAGGCAAATTATTCACATGACTTAGCAGAATTGAGGTGCTACATTTCACTTGCCAAGTCTGTGTATCTATATGTGTGTTATGTTCTATTAAATACAACTGACAAGGCACTGTGATTAAGCTTTTATTATATTTTTTCTAGCATTCATACAAGGAATTTCCTTTTTGGACATAGTGTACAAGAACTGTCCAAATGATCTTTGAGCCCTTTCAGCTAATCTATTAACCAATGTCAGGAATGATTTTTATTTGTTTAATACAGTGGTTCTCAACCTTTTTTACCACTTTTTATAGGCGTTTTTTGTGTGTGTGTGTGTGGACACCCATAATGATGGAGGGGGGGGGAGCTTATTTTATTTTTTTATTAATGGATATGTTTAGGAATTGTATTATAGAAATAATAAATGTATATGCTTTATTTTGAAGTGCAATTGCTTGATGGGCCACTAAAACATTTGCTATTTTGGACTCCCAGTAATGTAAGATGCCCTACACACACACTGGTCTAATAGATTAGCTTAAAATACTCAGACCCAAAGATCATTCGAATAGTTCTTACGCACGCTATGCCCAAAAAGAAATTACTTGTACGAATGCAAGAAAAATATAACAAGCATAATTGCATTGAAACCTATATAAAGGAGGGATTGCTCATGTGCAGACATGCAATTACAATAATAATATTGATTTATTGAACTTATGTCTATCTATTTCTATCGAAGATTTCAAAGAATTATTTTCAAGCTGCAATAATTTTAAAAAAAAAAAAAAATATCTGCTCATATTATCGCACTTGATAATGTGGGATGCTCTCAGATTATAAGCAATCCTTTCTACATTGATTGCAGATCTGGTAACCAGTGGCAGCTTTTGCTTCATGTTACTACTTCATCTTGCTTTGCAGTCTTGATGGATTGTGGACAATATTTCCATGTCAGCAGCCTCTGATGGGGGGTTGAATCTTCTGTGAAGCTCATCTATTCCACTAGACAGAGGCAAGTTCTCTAAACAGATATTGTGCTTTTACCCATAAATATAGCACACCTGAAAACTATATTTTATATATATAGTTGTATGTTATTGCTACTTTATAATTAACATATATTTTGAGGTTGCATCTCATCTTGCTATTAATGTAAACAGCATGAAGTAAGAATAAAGTGGGTTCTAACAAAGTTTGAACCCCTATCCTCATGTACAAAACCCTAATAAATTCAGCCATGGAAGAGTACACTTAGACAGGACATAAACTTGGTCATTTTCTTAACCTACTCAAAATCTTCAGGTTTTTTGTTTTTTTTTGTGTGTGTGAGAGAGAGAGAGAGAGAGGAAGGAAGGGGGTGGAGAATGATAATTTTTGCAAAAGATAAGTTCTTGGCCATTTTATAAAATAAAATAAAAATAACCTTTGTGTATCCCATATTCCTGAGAATTATATTCACAAAAAAATATTCACATCTAATTGTCCAATTTCACATTTTTGAAAGACATCTCACTCAAGATTACTGCCTCCCGAAATTTTTTTTCTTTTGTACATATTACCACCTGAAAAACAGTTTGTGTGTTATCACCACCTCCCGAAAGAGTGTTTTTCTTTTACATGTTATCATCACTTCCCGAAATTTTTTTTTTTTTCCTTTTGTACATATTACCACCTCGTGAAAAACATTATCACCATCTCTGATAATTTGTTTTTAACAATATCACTATCTCTCCCGATGCATTTTTTTTTTTTTTTAACATATTGTCAGTCCCTCTCAGAAAATTGTTTCTTTTACCTATTATCACCTCTTCTTGAAATTTTTTTTAACAATGTCACTATCCTCCCATTTTCTTTTTTTCTTTCATGCATATTACAACCTCCTGAAAGACATTTTCTACATTATCACCACTTCCTGGAAGTTTTTTTTTTTTTTACAATATCACTACCTTCCAATAGATTTTTTTTAATAATGCTTTCAAGATTTTTTTTTCACATTATCAGCACTTACCTTTTTTTTCCCCCCACATATCACCATCTACTGAAAGAGTTTTTAGATGTCATCCATTCACAAAACATCACTTTTCCAAAATACATTTTACTTAACCAAAAATCACACCTTGCCAATTTTTTACATATCACTATTTCATAAGAGATTTTATATATCACACATTCCCAAAAGCAATCAGTTTAGTTCATCTTTAAAGATGTGCCAAATATAACTTAAAATATATTTTATACAATGTTGTCTTATCAAATGGCACCTCCACTTAAAATCACTTCATCTAAAAAATATATATATATATTTGCATGTGATTATCAGTAGACATCTAGAAAGATTTTTTTTTTTTTTTAACATCTTGCCAGATCTCTACTATCTTACTTAAGCCTTCAATTTCTTTATAATTTAACATGGTATTATATTGAAGAGGGAAATAATTTAGTTTGTAAATTCATATCATTTGATTCAATTTGTCTCCCAAAGTATTACCATGACCATAGATATATTTTTTAATAATAAAAAAAATCGTTACTTTTATTTTAAATATTTGAAATAAACAAAACATCTTGACTCCTTTAAATATTAACAGCAGCATGTATGTTGCCAAGAATAAAACTGAGGATTCAATAGAGACTAAATAGCATTGATGAAAACGGATATTACTCACAGTGCAAAAGAGACAAATTTTAAAATGAGGGTAGGGCCACTGACTGAGTACTTAACAGGTTAAATAGCAGAAACATTATCCTATAGTATGAAATACATTAATATTCTAATTTTCTTGTGATTTAAGACTTTATTGTTGTTTTTCTTGCTGCTGTTAGGTGATCTAAGATAAAGAAATTTGTTTTTTTTTTGTTTGTTTTTTTGCAAG